ATGTTGACGTCTACCTTCCTGCTAAAGTTGCCTTCGATTCCCCTTCATCCAAATTCTTACGCAATTTTGTCTTTGGCTTCTGTGGAGGATTGAAAACCTCTCCTGTGACTTCACATACCGCCAACAACAGCCTCCACCATCCACTCACCTCTGGCCCATCAAGAATATAAATCCTCCTATTCTTTCCCCCCCACCTCCGTGATGACTATGTAACTTCCCCTCCATTAGTGCCAAACACCACCTGCAAAGAATGTTGTCTTCCCACCATGCTTCCAAGCCAAAAGCCTCTTCCTTCTCTCCAATAGAATCACTAGGTTCTAAGCAACTCATCAACCTCCTCTCCATAAACTTATGCCATCAACCCTCAAACCCAAAGCAGGATGTCAAATGCCTTCCCCTCTAATAACCAGGAATCTCTTGAAGGGAAAGACCAACATAGAGAAAAGAAAAACGTGTACCAACCAACAGCAGTTGGCCTGGAACCAAATTTCCTACTGCTGAAAGCTTGTTGGGAGGAGAAAAAAGAGAAGAGCAATTAAGATTGAGCATATAATAGGTTGGCATTATATACATATTAATTCATGTTTATATCCTCGTACTTTGATATTGATCCTCTAAATTAAAGCATGGTCTAAAACTGAAACTGTTAGGCATGAGAATTTTTTTGCCATGGACCTGTAAAAAGCAATTATGTCAACCAAAAGCCAGATCATCCGTAAAGAAACAATGGGGAACAACAGGACAAAAAAGAACAGTCAGATCCAAAAACTGACTCTGTTCTTAACAAAGCAATATCTAAAATCTGCCGCGAGAATTCTAGCTATTGCTGCTTTATTCTAAGAACACAAAATCTTAAAATTTACCCTGAGAATTCTGGTAACCAAGCCAATCAAAGATAGACCAATATTCAACAAGAAAACACCTCACCAAAAACAAGATAATGCAGCTACACAAAAGCTAAGACAATCAACACAACGAATATTTTGCAAACGATCCAGGCCAAAATACAAACAATTCTTACTACACTGAATCACTTTGAAAACCATGAAGAGCAGAAAGGATACCAAAATAACCAAAGGGAAAACAAACAATTCAATCACAGTACAAAGAAGTCAACGCCCACCACCAACTACCGCCCCGGAAGGGAGAAAGAACACTCCCGGATTAAACAAAATCTATAGGTTAGTAAATCCTTTCCCCTCAATGTCCACATGCATTGCAATCAACCAATCAGATCAGAACCACGCAACTAAAATAAATGAACAGCCAATTTGACCATATCAAAGAGCAAGTCAACGGCCCAAAACCTCCCTGTACCTCCCTATAACAAAATCAGTGTTAGTCAAATCATCAACATCCAATCGTATCCGAAACCAGTCGACAACCCTAAAGACAAGTAAAGCGATCTAATAATCAAGTCAACGCACCAGACACCCAATACACACAAAAGAACCAAACAATAAACTGGATTAAGAAAAAGTACCAGGCAGTTCCTCAGGATCCCACTTATACACGTCGGTCTCGCCGATGATATCGAGTTTGAGCCTTTTCTTGCAGATCTTCCTCTTCAGATAATACAGGACCAACTCTTCATCAGTTGGGTGGAATCGAAATCCAGGCGGCCACTGATCCTTGTCGTCGACGAAACCCGAATCCGACGTCACCTTCATCTCCGACCGAGGGACGTTAAATATTCAACCGATCCCCCGAAGAAAATAATACCCAACGAAAAGAGAGCGCTACCAATAAACAACTAAGGGGGAGATTGTTAGGGTGAAGGTATAAGAGAAAGAACAAGAAAATAAAGGAACATGTACTACATGATAGGGAAAAGGTAAAAAGGATTGTTAGGGTTTGCTCTAACAACCCACAGAGGAAAGATTGAGATGAGCTTCTTTTCTATGATTATCTGCGAGAAGCGAGAGGGTTTCGGAAGGAGAGCAATAGCAGTCAAAGAAGAAATGTGAAGGATAAGAGAAACCGGGGGCAGGGGGGGTTTAGTAAGAAGAACGGACATGAAAGTTCTGCGAAGTTCAGATAATTAGTGGAGAAATAATAATTTTCAAGGAAAGGTGAGGTGGCATCGTATCATTGGTCAGCG